GTGAAACATGCGGGTCAAACCATGTTCAGCAACCAGGCTTGGACATTTCAGCAAGACGGTGCGCCAGCACACACTTCCAACATTTCCCAAGCATGGCTTCATCATGAAATTTCGGACTTCATTACGAAGGACCAATGGCCTCCCAGCTCCCCTGACCTGAACCCTCTGGATTTTTCTATTTGGTCCATTTTGGAGACAAGAGTTGGGGCTAGTGCCCACCGCAACATCGAAGCCCTTAAGAAGTCTTTGGTCCGAGAATGGAAGAATATTCCACAGCATCAGCTGCGTGCTGCAGTACGCGCTTTCCGCCCTCGATTGAAGGCTTGCATTTCCAAACGTGGCGGAAATTTCGAGTAGCTATGGTTCCTAACATTGACTGACACTTTGTACTAAATAAATTTTCACTTGAAGTTGTCGTTCTTGTTGCTTTGGTTGTTTTTGGCAAAGAAACGTTTGTAACAGAACTTCTTACGCACCCTGTACAGTAACGTCTATACACGAGTTCAGGTATGCCAAAGGTAGGGCTGTCATGATGGCAGTTTTCAAAACATCAATGCATTGACCTGAACTACCTATAGTGATCATTGGGTAAAAAAAAATCCCAGGGAACAAAAGTGTATTTTTTCCCTCTCAGGATTCATGAAATGATTATATTCATTCTCAGTTACTATCATAACTGAAAGAAAACTGAGATAATTTTCATTCTCATTAAACAAAGAACACTTTAGCCTTTAGCAATATTTTCCATTTGGGAGAAGAGCTGTTCACTGGACTCTAACAGGTATTTCTTAGCCATTCTGAGCTTCTGGTTCCTTCTTGCTTCATAATCCCAATGGGCTGATTTCCCCATTCCTGTTGGTATCTGCCTCATACAGACCAGCCGTATCTATCGTTGTAGCCTATTCTCATTTGAGGCTTTCATTTGGCTGAGCAGTTTCATGAGTCCTTCAGATTTCATCACTTAAGGTGGTGGAATGCTTGAATATCCAGGATCGTTGATGAATTCTTCTCCCATATCACTGGAAGGTTCCAAGTGAAATGTGTGATGGGGAGAATTGCTGATTGGTGCTTGGACCTATGGTATATATTTGTGGTCCATCATTGTGCAAATTTCTTCTCAAATGCAAGAAGTCACATTGCAAGTGATGACCAGAGACTCCAGAAAGGGAGTGTCCTGTGGGCCAGATCTGTCACATCACATTTCACATTCAAGTAAATAAAATGCATGCAGGATTATACTCGAAGTGTCCTTTTTATTTCATTTCTCATAATAATAAAAAAGAAATGACTTTTTTTGTGATTATCTCACTCCATTCTTTTTTATTAGGGTTGGGCTTGATAATAAAAAATCCTGGCAAGAAAAAAGCAAGATCTAGTCACAATGACAATGATGTTATTGGGTTGGTGCATAATTTCGTAGCATTTTCTTTCTAATGGAAATTTGTCCAAGAAAAACAGAATTTTCATCATCTTTTATACATCATTTTAAAGCCCTAGTCTTGCTCTTTCAGATCGTTTTTTAATTTTTTTATTTGAATAATTTTTTTTTAGTTACAGGTTAAAAATTATGGAGTGTCAAGTGGGAAAAAAAGAACATATCCGACATGTGCTTTTGTTTGAGTTTAATCGGGGAGTCAGTGCAGCGGAGGCGGCTAGAAACATTTGTAGCGTATACGGGGAGGACGCAATTGGCGAAAGCACGGCAAGAAAATGGTTTTCTCGTTTTAGGGAGGGAAATTTTGACATAAAGGATGCCCCGTGCTCAGGACGAACATGTGACTTTGACGAGGACCGTTTAAACGCTTCGATCCACGATGATCCGCGTCAATCAACTAGAGAATTGGCCAATGTGATGGGCTGCGACCATTCAACAATCGTACGACATCTACAGTCTATAGGAAAAGTTCAAAAATTGGGTGCATGGGTTCCCCACATTTTGACAGAAAGCAACAAAAATCAGCATGTTGAAAAACAATTGATGCTGTTGAGGAGCTAAACGATGACAGGCGAGCAAAGAAGCACTAGTGACAAAACAAAAGCACATGTCGGAAATGTTATTTTTTTTCCACTTGACACTCCATAATTTTTAACCTGTAACTAAAAAAAAATTATTCAAATAAAAAAATTAAAAAACGATCTGAAAGAGCAAGACTAGGGCTTTAAAATGATGTATAAAAGATGATGAAAATTCTGTTTTTCTTGCACAAACTTCCATTAGAAAGAAAACGCTATGAAATTATGCACCAACCCAATACAACCAGGTAAAATGAGGGGAGGAAAAAAACCTTTTAAAAAATCTATATTCAAAAGTTTATCAACACTTGACTGGACGTTAAGGGTAGAGGACATCTTATCAAGACTTGGCAAGAAACAAAATTCAAGATCTTGCTAAGCATCTTGTTTGAAACCCAACCCTATTTTTTTTTATGTGGCTAGCCACTCCAAAACTTTGGGAGACCCTTGCTCTTGGTGATACAATCTGGCATTGAGATGATTTCCACTTTGGAGAACAAGTGCTAACCAGGGTGCATAGAGAGTATTTATTGATTTCTTTGCATTATTTTTTATTAGCTCATGCTATTTAACCAGTGTTATGTAAGGAATGGAAGTGTAATTGCAGTCTTTTATTTCCCAGCATTTATTTGGCATTCATTTACCGTCAGCTTGGAAATGTTCTCCCCAGAAACAATATTTTTGTCTGATATGGTTGTTGGTCACATTCTGATGTGCACAAGTTTTCTCCACATTCAATATTGGTTTCTTCCATTCAGATTGATGATCCGATGCGACTTTGCTGAACATGGTTGCAGTGCTGTGGTTGGTCTTGATGGCATCACAAGCCATTTGGAGAGCTGTGAACATAATCCGAAGAAGCCAGTCACTTGTGAGAAAGGCTGTGGATTGGTCATTCCCAAAGATGAAATCAAAGTGAGTGAAACCCAAGGTCTCACTAATTGAGTACATGACAGTCACCTATAAAGTTATTCATGCTCATTTTGCATCCTTGCATGTACAATCAATGCTCAATATAACAACCCTCTATATAATGAATTTTCCTTATGAATACTTTTTTAGCCTGTCCCTTTGAGTACATTACATTGAGCATCAACTGTAATACATTTCAGATTATGTGTGGTACCCTCCACCAGTGGAATGTGAAGAGTTTTGTGATTCTTGCTGCTATGATGTGCAGAGATTTGAACTCTTCCATGGCCTATTGAGATGGGCCATGGGACCTGAATATAGTCAGTCTGATACTTATGAATGTTCGATGTTAGGATGAGAGAGATGATCTAAGATAGTTCAATGGAACCAAAGCCACCATTATTTCGCTTGCACACCCTTTGAACTTGTTTTGATGAGAGTCATTTGTTTTTGGCCCAACACTGCATGCATATATTTCATGCTCCAGTTTATCATGTAGAAATCCATTGAAGAAAGTTTCCTTTGAATCACAGAATGGCAGGCACATCCAACATCTCTTGTAATGCATTGTGACATACATCAGGTCTACACATGGGCCCAATTGTATGTTGTTCCCGCAAGTGTAACTGGAGATATATGTAAATGTGTGGGTTTAGTGACTTTAAAATCACCCTGTAGTTCTATCTGTAATGTAGCTTCATATCATAGCATCAGTCAATTTAGCATTCTTCTTCAACTCAAAGCATGTGCAATTTTTTTTTTTAAGGATTTCAGTCATATAACCAAAATGCTTTTCATTTCAGCCAAGTTATGATAGATCTTTGCTATGATTGAGTCATGAAACTGTTCTTTAACCTATATATTCTCACTCAAGTGGGTAACTTAGGGGAATATTTGAACACCAGAGAAACTCTTCACGTTCTGTCACCACTGATAGATACGAGGGCCACTCAATAAGTTATCTACCTGAATATGAAAGGGATGAGCAACAGGCCTGTGCCTGCTGTGACATGTCTCGACAGGTCTCGTGAGTGCCCCACCATTATACCAGCTCAGTGGCTCAAGTCCGTTCAAAGTGGTAGTGCATTAGATTTCTTTTCCTGAGTCTGTGTCATGGATTTGACGAAAGTTGAACATCGTTCAGTGATCAAATTCCTCACCAAAGAAGGGAAAGCACCTAAGGATATTCATGAACGTATGTCTAACGTTTATGGTGTGTCTTGGTTGGGGCGCCCTGTGGAGGCATCTTATCAGGAAATGTGTGACAAATTGGAGAGTGCGATACTGGAGGATCGTTGCACCAAAGTCTCTGTTTTAGCTCATGAACTGGGGATTTCAGAGGGCACAGTGATTCACATTATTCATGAAAAATTACACATGTCCAAAGTCAGTTCTCGATGGGTCCCAAGAATGCTGACTCCAGCTCAGAAGAAGAACAGATCTGACATCTGCAAGGAAAACTTGGAGTTTTCTAAACAAATCGGGGAAACTTTTTTTCCCAGAAGACTGGTGATGAAACTTGGGTTCATCACTGAGATCCCAAAACCAAGCAGGAGTCCATGCAGTGGAAGCACAAGGGATTGCCAACGCCTCGCAAATTTTGTGTTCAGAAATCTGCAGGAAAGATTACGGCCACTATGTTTTGGGACAGCGAGGGACTACTGCTGCTTGATTTTGTGCCAGACAAGTGTACAATCACTGACGATTCCTATGCTACCACCATGAAAAATTTACATGATGCCATCAAGGAAAAACGCAGAGGAAAGTTGTCAACAGGGGTCCTTCTTCTCCATGACAACGCGCCCGTCCACAAATCATTGAAAGTTCAGGCAGCAGTGAGGGAGTGTGGCTTTCAGGAGCTCAACCATCCTCCCTACAGCCTGGATCTGGCTCCTAGTGACTATTTTCTGTTCAGACACTTGAAAAAATTTTTGTGGGGAAAAAGATTTTCATGCAATGAAGAGCTGAAAGTTGCAGTTTCTGAATGGTTTGATGGACAAGAAGTTGACTTCTATTCCCAGGGAATAAAATCCTTGGAATCAAAGTGGAATAAGTGTGTTGAGTTAAGAGGTGACTACATTGAAAAATAAAGTGTTATTTTTCCCCTCGGATGTTTCTTTCATATTCAGGTAGATAACTTATTGAGTGACCCTCGTATGATTCTGTGCTGCACAACGATCCCCAAGGAAGAGTTTAGTACCATTGGTAGATAGGTACTAAAACTGTCATTTAAAGAATTAAAGGGATTAAGGATAGGCCGGTATGCCCATTTATTTAAGATCCACTTGGTCTCTCTTAGTGAGACTTTCAAAATTTAAGATTTGGGTTTTTGAAAATCTGGTTTTGGGCCTAAGACAGAGCATATTAACTCACTGGGAAGGTCTGCCTCATTCATCTTCAATGCACTTTTCTAGTTGTTGTAACCCCCTTAGTTGAGGCAGTATGGTTTGTCAGAGCCAAAATGGAATTCTCATCAATCTAAATGGACAACTGCATGCTCCAAACCACCTGCAACTACAAAGTTCATTTATGTTGCATATGAACAACATATAAAATGCAGTTTGATCATGTTGGCAAGAGCATGTTATAGAGAGTGGCATGTAAACATGGCAATTTTTAGAGTGCTTATGTTCTAAATATATGTATGTTAAGCAAATTTTGGAAGACTGTAACTCATCTGCATGTTGTCAGATCTCAACCCAGAAAACTGAGTTCCTCATAAAGTAATGAGTTCTATCCACCTTGCTCTCACTGTGAGAAGCTAATATGTGAGCAACTTTGGCCTATGTGCAAAATTCCACCTAAGTTGCCTTCTTTGAAAAAGTCTCACTGAAAATAGGGAAAGTGCATGCTAAAATAAAACTAATGGATCTGTGGATTGGGGATTCGTGCACTTTGAAATAGTGGGGGTGATAAAAAAAAAAAGTACTGCAATCAAGACTTTACTTCAAAAAACAGGTAACATCCAAAAGTTGTTACATCCCCTTAAAGTAATACCCCTTGGCATATATGAATTGCTGCATCTTAATTTTCCAAGTTTGGGAAGCTTTGTGTTTACCTGACCCTGGAAAACTGGACAGCTGTGCTTATACAGCTGTTGCAAGCTCAGCTATCCTTGAAAAAGGCCTTCCAGCAATTTTGGACAAAAGCTGAAGGAACAGCTAGGAGTTGCAAAGAGCTGAGTTAGGAGAGTTAGTTGGGTGGTGAAGAAGAGGGATGGCCTGCTGGCCTGGGAAGGACAATGTCAGCTTTGCCTTGTGAGGGTCAGCATTGCTATGGTGAAGCAGCACTCATGATGCTCCAGACTTTTGTCTCAATTTCTCAAGTTCCAAGACCTTGGTAATCTCTCTGGTAAATCAAACTCTCTGAGTATAGTACAGCACTGTGATGGTTCTAGTATTTGACATGATATCAAGAGCCACAGGACCTTGATATTTGAAGATGATGTTGAACACCCTTTTCTGACTTTGAAAACCAGGCTAAAGCACCAGATCAAGCCATTTATGAATATTCTTTATGAAACATCTGAAAGCCAGATCATGTTGGGTTTTCATGGTGAAGGAAGATATCCAACATTTATCACCTGTACCAGAGAGCCTCTTTGGACCATTGTGTTCCAATATCTCAAACTATTGGCAACAAACTAGAACTCTTTCCAATTTCTGACTTTGGTATTCTGTGAACCCTCATGGACAAGGATGTGAGTACTTCCATAGTTAATGCCAAGCTCAAGAGATACAAATTTCAGAGCAACACCAAGATCCTGCTGAATAATGGCATCAGCACAAGCAATTCTTGTTTGTTCTTGAAAGTCAAGCCTCATTTTCACAGTCCTCATTTCCAGCTTTCAATTACCTAATTCACCTCACAGCATTGTCATAAGAGCAAGCATCCTCACCATAAACATTGACAAGATCCTGATGGATCTCCTTCATTTAGTATTCAAGCTTCCAGCAAGTGAAGATTTAGAAGCAAGATGCTTCTTTTGTGATATCCATTGAGATACTGACTAGTGGAAAATATGCCTCAACATAACCCTCTGCATGAGCTTAAGTGGATGATATATAAACATGAGTCTTAGAAGCTGAAATTCTCCCAAAAGACTAATGTGGATCAGGAAAAACCCAAGCATAATATCTTCTTTGTTATGCAAAAAGGGCATAACAGCCAAGTACCTCAAATATAAGCTTTTCTCTTCAGTGAACTTCTTTCATATTGTTACACATAGTGCTATAAAGGCATAAGTGTCTGAGTCTTCAACACTGTGGCTATTCAAGAAGGGCATGTGTGTCCTTTATAACAGCTAAAGGAGCTGTTCTGAAGATTTTCAGAAGTTTCTTTCATCATCTGAAAAGTGACCTCAGAGGCACTTATGCCCTTCTTGTATAACTTTTTGATATTAATGATTGCTTAATCTATGTGTTTTCATATGTAAATATGGTTCAAATTCATCTTTTGTTTTCCAGGAACACAACTGTGCCAAGAATTTACGAGCAATCTGTCACACCTTGCAGCAGCAGATGAGTAGTATGCAGGCAGAGCTGACAGAACTTAAAACAGAGAATGAACAGCTGCGAAGGGAGATGCAACTTGTACGAGTGAGTTGACTGCTTGCCTGTCTCTTTCTGAATTCTTGCTTGAAGGAGCTGTTAGGGAAAGCCAAGCACATCAGATGATTTCAAGTCATTGAAGTATTTGCCAGTGTATGAAGGACTGTTAATTCTTTATTGCAGGATTTTATTCGTGCTGTGCGAGGCTCGAATCCTACTATGATGGCCATTGCAGACCAGTTAGAGCAGAGTGAAGTGGTCAGATGGAGTAATTCCCTTCAAAGGGCACGTGTGACTCGATGGGGTGGCATGATCTCTACACCAGACACTGTCTTACAGGTATATACCGAGTTTGTCTTCCATTAATCATGTTGGTATTCTCATGATAACCAACAACTCCAAAGGGGATGAGAGTGGATAATACTTTTCATTGGATTCCATGTAGGCTGTGATCAGAAGGGCACTGGCAGAATCTGGGTGTCCTCCTCTCATCATCAATGATCTGATGGAGAACAGTCATGAAAGGCGTTGGCCAAGTGGCCTCTCAACCTTGGAAACAAGGCAGATGAATCGACGCTTCTATGACAATTATGTATGTAGAAGAGTTCCTGGAAGGCAAGCTGTGGTTGTAATGGCATGTGAAAATCAACATATGAATGAGGACATGCTCATGGAACCAGGTGTGGTTATGATCTTTGCTCATGGTGTTGAATGAGAGAGAGGTGGTGCCTTTCATTGCTCTTTGTTATCCATTGCTTCCTATGGTTACCGTCTTGTTAAATTGTATAATGATGAAGCAAGGAAACATTCTGGCAGTGCTTTGACTTGGCATTTTTGTGCTGAAACAACTGGAATTGATGGAGCTTCATGAAGGAAGTCATGTTATTTTGCAGTTCCTGGTGATTACCTTGTAGAGGTCATCAGATATCATGACCTGACATCCCAACAGAGTCCAAAAGAGCAGCAGGAGCTCAACAATATTCTCAAATCAATCCCCAAGTCTTATCTCTTTCTCTCCCAGAACTTCCATTTATTCTCATGATTGGAATATCTCTTACATTTCAACTTAACTTCATTGATCATCCAATTCAGGTTTGAGCTGAATTGTTTAAGGCCCAGATTGGAAAAACAGGCCATTTCCCTTGCATTTATTTTCTAGTTTGGAAAGGCCCCTACAGGTTGTGATAGGTTCCTTTTCCAAAGGTCTCCCTTTTCATGGGACTCCATCAACCTTGTTGGTCTGCACCTATGTGGTTCTTGTCTGTCACAGATAATTTTTTTAAATTACAAGGTGCAAGAAAAAAAAAGTAGTAATCACTGCGGTACAGCTCCTCTGTCTTACAAGGAACAGCAATGTAATATTGAGTACTATAGTAACAATGTTTCTTCTGCACCTGTGAGCAATTTCAGGTTTGCAACTAATGCCATTAACTTTTTATAGACATTTTCTGCACAGCTGGATTAATGAACTGATTAAATATGGTAACTTTTTCAATAGAGTAGCAATGGGCAGTCCCTCTCAAAATTGTGCTTTCTGGAGGGCCACACTTTATGCAATTTCTTTGCTAGCAGCTCACCTTCATGGTAAAAAAAATTTGCATGACTGCCATATGTTCATCTTTTGAAATTTTACCCTACTTGATCAGTTCATTTGTCCATCTATGTTGAAATAGTCTGCAAAAAGTTATTGATATTAGACACAAATCTGAATTTGCACACAGATTTAGGTGAGGCATAGATAGCTATTTAAGTATCAGCATTACAATCCTGTTCTTGGAAAGATGAAGCCATGCTGCAATGATCACTACTTTTTGAACACAGCTCATACATGCATCCAATAAACATGAATTGCGATATTTATGACCATATGAGGTAAGTACTACTGAAGGTTAATGGAATTATACCAGGATGGGTAGTGAAGTCCTCCTTTTTTGGGGGTATTTTCACTGTGTGCTACGATTAAAGGTAGCATGTCTAGGGTATGTTACTTGGAGTCTGCCCTGCCTGTTTTTTTTTTTTTTTACATGATTGTGGTGCTGAAGCACAATGTTTCATAGAGCCTGATCTAAACCTCTAGACACTCATTAGCCATTGTCATTTTATGTAACACCCTCTCAACTAGATGTTGAGTACTTTCTTCTGATCAATTGTGTCTTAACACTTGAACATGGATATTCACCATGAGTGTTCATGATATCATCATTGCATCATATGGATTCCTCCATGATGAATGATGGAGAGTATAGTGAACTTGAGAATAGCTGTCTTCCATTTCCATTTCATTGGGTGACCTTTTGTATCTCCACTCCATTTTCGTTATTTTTAAAGACTAAAAGCTGACAAACTCAATTTTCCAAGGTATATCTAGCACAATAGGATATACTCCACTTCTTGCTGCCCTAATTGTCTCTCTTTCTTCACTCCTGGCAGAGATTCAAAATTATGCCTCATCTGGGTATAGCTAGCAGACCTAGAAAGTGGAAAGAGGACAAAGGAATTTTGAGAGGCTCAGATATTGTTAGGAACTTCACTGATAGTATAAGATTCATGCCCAAGGCATCAATAGTGCATGAGTCACTTCAATGTTTTTGTTTCATCACAGTTAATGAAGCTCATCATTTCCTTACCCACTCATACTTGAGGATACTCCAAATGCTATAGCCCCAGTCCATGTACAATTACATGGTATATTTGCAAAATAAAGGAGGGTTTCCACTATTAACATTTGAAAAAATATTATTGTAGCACCCCTGCCAAAAGGACATTGCACCCAACCTGTTGTCATTCTGTTAGCCTTGAATTCAACAGAGGGAGTTAAAAATGCTCCACTGGTAGAGCATATTAATTCTTGGCTGCAGAGATATGAATTTTCAGAGACTGTTGAGTATCTTGAACCCTGTTCTTCAAAACGACACTCTTGATCCCAACCTAGATTGTGCTGGCAATCTTATTTTCTTATTTCTGATATGCATTTCTGGCATTCCCAAAGTGTTTTGTATGTGACTGCCCTGTTTTCATTCTTTATATTGTTTGTATTCTTTGAAGCAACATGGGTGATGTTGTCTCCAATAGCTCTCTGTCTCTTATTCCACAAATACTCAGAATCTTATCCTCATTCCTACTCTTCAGGTGAATCTGAAGACTCCATATTTTCAGGTATTCTGAATTAGCTGAAATTACTGAGACAAAGATGTTAATACCCTTTCAGTATCCCAGGAACTCACATTGGGCCATACTCCATGAGAACCTGGTCAAAATTGTCAATTGAAAGTTGTAATCATGGCTACATTCTCATTCCTTCTTTTTTTTCAAATGCTGGCCATTTTGGAGAATGAGGATTTTCTTCCCCCCCCCCCCCCCCCATAGACCTTGAAAAAAGTGTAATTCTCTGCAAATGACTGGTTTTAGAGAATCAAGTACCTTATTTCTATCAAATCTATGATTAAACATTTATTTTCTATTATTATTGTTGCATAGTAGTTGGAACCCTGCTTGACAGGTAGTACAAGGTGTCCCAAAAGTAAATGCATGTCATTCAAGCATCATTTGACAGAACTCCACAAAAATTGGCATGTATACAGGGAATATCATCAAATTTTGCTTAACTAAAACTATCAAATCATTTAACCAAATCTGCATTGATTTGATTTGCTCTCAATGTGCTCACCACCATTTTCAACGATCAGATTCAGCCTCTCCCTGAAACAAAGTTAACTTCTTTCAAAAAAATCAGGAGTCAGGGAAGCACAAGCTGCTTCAATGGCCTTCTGGAATGAGTTCAGATCCTTGTGTGACTCCTGGTACACCAGCTGCTTAAAATGCCCCCACAAAATGAGGTTGCAGGGTCAGGTCTGGGCTTCTTGGGGGCCAGGCAATCTGTCCATGTCTTCCAATCCAGCACTGAGGAAAGCTCTCATCCAGCCAGGCCCACACCTCTTTGGAGAAATGTGAGGGTGTGCTGTCTAGCTGGAAGACGATTTAGTTGATCTCTGGGAGATGGCAGATGTGGAGCCATGGGAACTTCTTCAGGAGGTTGAGGTAAGAGGTCTTTAGTCACATTTCCTTGAAAGATGAATGGACCAATCACACCTTGATTCTACATCCTGCACCAGACAGTGAGTCAGGGAGAATCAAGGGGAACTTGCTGAATTTCATGCAGATTCTCTTTGACCCCAGATTTGACAGTTTTGCTTGTTCACTTTTCCATCCAACTGAAAATGTGCCTCATTAGAGAAAATGAGACCCAGGAAGTTTGGATCGGCTTCAATCCTGTCGATCATCTACTCAGCAAATCCAAGCCTAACATCCTTATCTTCGGGGTTCAAAGATTGAACAATCTGAATTTTATATGGCTTGAAAGCAGCATCCTTCAGAATTCTCTGACTGGATCAACTGAAGTTGGGCTGAAGAGATGCCCTTCTGATTGAGGTCCCAGGAGCTCTCTCAAACAGTTCTTGCACCCATGCCACATTCTCCTCTTTCAGCTTTCAGAGCTCGTTTTCCTGGATGAATCAAGCCTGTTTCAAGAAACTTCGAATGTCATTCCTTGATGAGAATTTTGTCTAGTGCTGGTTTTTCCATTCCAAATTCTTGGACAAATTTTCTCTGCACCAGAACAGGACTCTCCCAACTGTCATACCAGCAAACAGATTTAACCTTTTTGAATGTAGAATACACCTTTTTTTTTAATTCACGCTACTTAAACTGTCAAAGAATTCACAAGAACCATGATTCACACAGGCTTAAAAACTGCGACCTTGAAAAACTTAAATTTTCAATAAACTGCTAACAAATAAATTCAGCTTCAACTGAGAATAATGAAACTTTCCACACTAAAAATTCTGTCAAAATCCATTTGTATGGCAATTTTTGTTGCACAATGCTTGAATGGCATGCATTTACTTTTGGGACACCCTGTACTTGACTACCTTTACTGAAGTTGCAGCAAGTAAAGTAAAAACTGGGAATGGCTGCAGGGTTCCATGGTGTAACTGGTTTCTTTCAGCAAACCAGAATTGTTATGGATAAGTGAAGTGTTGTGAAGTGTTTCTGACAATTCTTGCAGAGGAGTACCATGACTTGCTCAGGAAAGTGCCTGAACTCAACATATAAGCTGCAGCTGCATTCTTTATGATTCTATCTATTGATAGTAGTCAATCACAGTTAATTTACTTCCCCTCAATTGGACAATTGCTACATCATTACTACTTTTGATTGAAATATTTACTTGCTTATTTGAACATGATCCTCCAGAATAGCAAAAGGGAACAAATACATGCTTCATATACTTCTCCCTGACACCTTTCCATAATATATCCCATTCTCCCATGTCCCTGACTAGAGAATGATATATGGTGTAATGTACATCTGTTTTGAACATTGGAGAATGATGTAAAGCAATGGTACTCAAAACATTTTGAGCCACATGGGCCACATATGGACGTGATGAAACTTGCGTGGACTACACTTAGAAAAAAAAAGTCCAGTCAGGGTTATGGACCCAAATGCTGCAACCTACTTTGGCTAAAGGTCCTTTTGGAATACACAGACTACTATGGAGGAAAAAGAGCTCTTTAGCTTAAAGGCCCCTTTAACTCCCCTAAATGAGGTTTGTGCATTTGGGCTATAGTCTTCGATGTGGGTTTATTTTACTGCCCAAATACATTTAGTCTTCATGGGCATCAGTTTGAATAATGCCAATGTAAAGTGACGTGCACTACATCTGTTTGCTAGCTAAACTGATCTGATTCCAGCCAAACACATTCAAGGGTGAGATAAACTCAACTTCAAACTGATTAGTAGTATGCACAATACAGGATCAGTTTATTTTTCTGTTAAACTAATTTTTTTTTAGATAACCTTGCTCCATGGCAGGCTTATATCTCAAAATACATAGGCAGCATAAATTGCTCTCAAAGGGAATTCATCTGACTGTTCCACAAGTATAATAGCTTTTCCTGGGTTGATGGCAGATTCTGGGGTTTAGAATAAGATTTAATACTGCATTCTTACTAAATTTTGTATATTGGTTGCATGGGAAATTGATTATGATCAAGTCAAGATCTTACCAGTTTAGCTATGTTATCCATTGCATTGAAATATTACAAAAATGTTAACCCTTTCACTGTTGTACTAATTTGGGTTGCATGTGATGCTTGTGTGGTGGTAGCCCAAGTATGTACTTGGGCTCTGACCATTCACAGTTTTTAGGATATTAACTGCTATTTATGCATGTAACTGTTATCTTAAATAGTTTTCATTGTATGGCATTTTTAACATAAACTGTTGGTAAACAGTCCCAATTTTTTGCAACACTAGGTGATGAATTTTTTTTTTAGAACAGTGAAAGGTTTTAGAGGGACCAAGTTTTTGTGCATGTCAATCACCTAAATAATCCTATATTCATTAACCATTTTCTGAGTTCACTCCTGACTGCCAAGTGGTACATATTTGTTCATACTTGGAGTTCTACTGTGTTGATATAATGCACTTCTTGTAGGAATTAAAATAAACCAAACAGCCTCCCCCCCCAAAAAAATTGATCCTAACAGATCCACCATTACTGTTAATAAAACTAAGGAAGTTCAGGTGTTCAAAATACCATGAATTTTATTTTACTCTTTTTAAGAGTGGCACTTTAAAATTAAACCAAATTCAGATTTTTACCTAATTGCAAAGACAAACAGAACAAACATAACTGCTTGGCTTTTCAAATTTCCAGGCATAACTACTTCTAAAAAAAATCCCACAAGAGAACTTTCATGTGTTCTCCTCAGCTGAAGTTTTTTTTTCATGCCAGTCCAATCTTGGTATCTGGATGTAGCTGAAAATTTTCTTCAAAATGGCAAACTTCAACAGCTCTAGTAGTCCAACAGGTTCCAACAATGCTTTTCTACACATAGCTCATTAGCAGCATGCTGTAAAAGATGAGGGAAAATGCTGGGATCTAGGTGTAGTTAAGAGATGCATTTTGCAAACCATGATTTTCAGAGTTTATTGAGCTCTCCAACTGTGTCCTATTCAAGGATAGTGAAAAAACGAAGGATTTTACAATCATTCACAGTAAGGAACAAATAGTAGCAACAATTTCCCAAGTTGAGCTAGCTTACTTTTTTTAAATGTGAAATATCCACTCAAATGGCTCCTAAGTACATTTAAGTTCAGTCACATACTAGAACATTCTTTCAAACATGTATCATACATGCTTCATTAGATGGAATTGAATGAGATGATGCCCATTCCACATGAATCTTTCATTTGTGTACAGCTGGCCTAAGGTGTGGTTGAATGTGCATTGGGAAATTAATCAGATTCTCAATGGTCCATAACAAAGATAAATGCATTCTTAAACAGGTGTTCAACTTGCTTTGAAACTTAATCCAATTTCTCATCTAGTGCATGTCATCCTAAGTCATTCCATAAGGGATGTCATCTGAAGCCAGTGTCAGGCAGCTAACTTAAAATTAACTCATTATGGAATTTTAATCAGCTTAGTAAGTTGCTTTGTCACAACTTGTTACAGGTTAAATGTTTGGTTACCTACATATGTGATAACTACAATCGGATGAAATTAGTTAACTACTATACTCTCAACTGCTTACATGTCAATCCATTGCTGCACATTGTGTGCATGAAGAGAATCAAATCACCAAGAGTATAACTGTTTTCATTCCACAACAGTTTTTATGCCTATTGCACCTTCCATGATGCAGCTCAAAAGGAAAAAAACAACCTTGAAAAAATGCTCCCCACTGCAATTTCAGTGCCTTGAATACACCATATGAAAGTCCATATCTTCCTTGTGCTTTTCTTTCCAATGCAAGTATAGTTAGCTCACAAAAGTCACTCAGCTGGACTGAAATCTGCTAAGAAATTCCCCCTATCTCCATGGAATATCTTCCAATTCTTGTTGCTGACCAGCCATGTTAGTAACCACCTGTCAAAAAATTACTTATAACCTGCTCCATCTAATTCTAACCCCAGATTCCCTATTGATTTCAATGTCCACATCTCCTTCTCATTTACAGTACATAGCTTGCATGATCCTTTTAGCCCTTTCTGTATTAAATTTTCTGCTCATTTTGATAAATATTTAAAATTAACCTAAAGTTTCACTATTTTTTTATGACTATCAGTTGTAATTACACAAAAGTCAATTATAATTTGGTTCAGCATGTCAACATATACCCTCCACTTCAGGACAATTGCATTGAAAATGAACTTGAGCAAAAGATCTATTAAGTAATTTTAAACTTTTCATTCCCTGTGCCTAATTGAGCATGAGGTGAATGAAGGCGTAAAATACATTTTATAAATGGCTAAACTGACAGCTCATACCTACATGGTGTATGCTTACACAAAGTGCATTTTGTTACTCCAACTGTTAAACCAGTTGAGCAAAGGATCAACAAATTCACTCAAGATGGCAGTTGCTAGCCTCTGTTTCTGCAGAACCCACCAGATGAATTTTCCCAAATTCAAACTCTCAGCTCAAATAACCACTAGCAACTTTCAACAAGCATGATATATTTGCCTAATACAATCTTCAAATTTGCATTTTCTGCACCTTACAACCTTCATTTGCTCAGCTTTTCATGCAAAAGCTGTGAACTCCATAGCCAATGGCTAAACAATTACAATAACTCAAAAATTGATTTAAATGTCATGGACAAGGTGGAAATTGGGTTAAGCAAGACAGCATGCATAATTTCTTTATTCTTGAATTTTTGCAGAACAAAGACATGCCTGGACAAATTGGCAGGCATTCTGGAAATGATACTGCCAAGTATAAACACTTTCCCTTCCTTTTCCCAATTAATACAAAAAATTTTTTCCAATGCAGCATTATCTTTAAAGCATCACACAGCTGCATAATCACAGGTGAGAAACATAAATCGCATTTATTTGAACAGACAGACAGATTAACCCACATTTTCTTCTTATAACCCAGCAAACCCAAACCTAACTACAGAAAACACTAACCACCAGCTCAGGGATATGCTTACGATGATTTCCTTCTTTCATTTGTTAGCTGTTGGAAAACGACCAGTGGCTACTCGGGGTGCAGGAATCCGTCCTGTTGGGATCCACCCACCTCGTCCTGTAATAGACCAAAATATGGTATGAAGCAAATGTGATTGGGCAGGAAAACCTGCAAGATAGCTCTTAAAATTTTACAATCATGATTAGTTGCATGCTGTTGAACAAATCACTCAAAAGATCACTGATTCTTACCTCATTGAAGGCCAATGGTTCTAACCTTTTATAAGGCTCCTAGTAAAAATTAGGATTGACAGTTTCCTTGTGGCAGCTCAAGGTTATGGAATTTTACAGTAGTGCAATACAGTAATATGGAATTATATATCTTCAGTCAATATCACTTTTGTCATAGCATCATTTTTACTCTAAACTGCAGTAGACAGTCACATCAGAAATTAATGCCCTGCATTGTTAGAAACTGATATCACTACATTAAAAACTGACAAGACTTGGACATCACATCACTGCAACATGCCAAAATGTTCGTGCCAAGGTTTTTATGGTGTGAATGACTTATTCTGAAATCTAAAATTGTCCAAAAGATCTGCTAAGTATTATTGCAACCATTCTTTGCATAATGCACTTAGCCCATTTCCTATTAGCGTCCCAAAATCAAAACATTTTAAAATTGTGTTCAGGCTATGCCATGAATGCTAATATTAGCAGCATTCATGCTGTTCATGACCCTCATCAATTCATGCCTGGGCACTATCTTGGGAAAAATTGTTTAAGCCCTTAACATACAATTTCTTTGAATGGCCTAAGTTGCAGGTGGCCCAGGATGGCCAGAGCAAGTCATGAAAAAATGAAAGTGAATTTTACTTTATCAAAGAAAAATATTTTAAAATAAGAATTGATTTTTCATTAAATCAAATAACAGATGGGGAGGTATTTTATCAAGCCAGTGCACAATGTAATTTGCCAATTTTCAACTTAAGTCAAAAGTTAGGTGAAATTCTGAAATTCTCAACTTCAATAAGTGAGGATCAAGAAATGCTCTTCAACCCTCTGGAGAATGTGATGCTACCTTTCTACAGCACTTCAGGCCTAAAATTGATAGTTATCACATGAAAAAAACTCAGTTGATAGGCAAGTCAAAATGATGGGTCATGACAGGTTCAAATATGCCTCCTTGGCATTAGTTCACAAAGGTAACATTTTTCACCAACTTCATGTTAAGCATTTAAAAGTTTATCAAAATCTTATCATTGTGATGTCACAATAAGAGTGAGATGGTCTCATTTACAAGAATGCCAAGTGTCATTATCATGATACATCTTGATGTCAACAAAATGTCTCCCGATTACATTCATACAAACTTTGTGGTCAACAAGTGATAATGTTTCCAGAATGTCAAGTGCTTCTTGAGACAGTTCTACAAAATGCTACATTTCATTAGTGCTTTCTAAAGTTAAATGGCTGTACTACTGGATTTTGCAATTCCAATGATGTGAGAAATGCACTTTTAAATAATGAAGTGCAGTCTATCCCAAGAATGAGTAAACCCTCAATAATTGAAATAAAAACATGTAACTTAATGAACAAGCTAAAAGAAATCAAATGCTCCTGGCTCCCATGTCCAGGACTCTCTTGATTGATGCAAAGGCAAACGCTCAAACTGAAATGGAAAAATTGTAAAATCAAGGGAACACTCAGATTTTTAGCACAAGTCTTAAATAGTATTTTAAGAGCCCAGTGCAGTATTCACTTTAGAGTAGTGAAATAGGAGAAATACTTATGTCCAAAATCAATTCCTATGAAGTCTTTGGATGAAAAAAAGCATACCCATTGGCAGTTTGTCAGAATGCAAGCCTAAAGAACAATCATGGGACCCTATGAGGCTTGAGGTTGGCAGGAGTCTCAAAGCACAATTGGATAACAAGGACAGGATAGGGAAAGGTTTAACAGACCTTCTCAGACTGCTGGAGTAGTTGGGTCAACATGGACACAAGGTGGGTAATATATAATGGGTGGAATAAAGGGGTAATGGTGGAGGACATGGTGTGGAAGTTGGAACTGTTCTCTATGTCTTTCTGGTGTATCCCTCCTCATCCATGGATATTGCATGCCTGGGCTGGAATAATTTGCATGCCAAGGACATGGAGAGACGTATGACATGTATGCTGGACTCATAGGGCTCTGAGGTATTGGTGATGGCCAGGAATGAGAAGTTTGCAGCAGAGATCTGCTTCCCAGTGTAGGAGTGACTGAGGTAGCAAATGCAGACTGCACCTGATAATGCTTTGACTTCTTTTCTTTTTTGCACTTTGGAGTGCTGGTCAAAGGTTCTCCTGTATAAAACTTATTGATCATCTCCTTTGGCTTCTCAACTGGATGTAGTGCTTCCAGTTCTTCCAATTCATCACTATTGTACTGCTCCTCGTATGCAGCAAGATCCAGACCCTTCAGGGCACTTTGAGCTCCATTCAAGGACTGCCAGTAGTCCGGACAAATGAAAGCATCCTCTGGCATGGGATCATCAGGTCCAAATAAGGGTGTTTGGATCAAAGGGGGGGATATAGCATGACACTTGTACTTTCTGTCTTGTGGGAGTTGCTTCACAACTGGCTTTGTAACTTGAGGGAGAGGGTGAGATGGTATGAAATTCTCATGGGGACATGCCAAGGGATGGTTGGGATGCAGTATGCTCCAACCAGGGTGAGAGAAAATGGGGATAACCCCCCACATCCCTGAATAAAGAACGCCTTCTGTGATTTACCTGGGATTCTGAACTGCATCAAATATGCAAAAAATTCAAAGTCAACATTTGAGGAACAAACAAGTTGGACACATTAGAAAAGCTCCTTCCAATGTTGCTAACATATTTTTTTATCATTATGAAGCCCTTACCTAGCATGCAACCATAGTAACTGAACCTACCTCGAGGCATCATAGGACGACGCATGCCACGGCCACGATTGAACCTCATCCCTCGCCACATTGGGTATCCATATCCTCGAAATCCTGTATAAAAAATATTCCTTTCTATTCTGACATTGCATGCCATAATGTTCCACAAAAGTGTACAAGTTAGAACAGCAACATAACTTACCCATTGAACGGTAGTTGCCCATGAAGGTGCTATGGTGCACAGCTTGCTCACCAAATGTTTCCACATTCAATTTTTGCTCCTCTCGCCAATTGATGCGGAACATTTTTCTGCATCCCAAGCAATCATATTTTTCATGAGTTTTATAAATGAATAACAAAACAGACTAATGGCTTACAGAAAATTTTGGAAATGGAGTGCCTAAGCACTATTAGTGGCCATGAATAAAAAAAGCTAGAAAGATAAACATACCCTTTGGTCTTCTCAATTGCCTCACAAGAGATGCTGTCAAAGAAGGATTTGGCTTTGTCATAGAAAGCCTTGCATGGTGGGATTTCAGGCTGGACAGCTTTCTCAACAGTAGAGATAATTTTGTCTTCTGACTCCGGAGATCCATGTCCTGAATCATCTTTCCGCTCCTCCTCCTTTTTCTCTTCCTTCTCGGGTATCTCTTCCCACTCCTTTGCATTTGGATCCCAATTTTCTGAAGTCTCATCAATCACAGGAAGATCATCTGAAAGAATAGCAGGCATTTATCCCAGTTATTCATGGAGTACCAAACTTCAAGCAATAACATTTCTATGAACCTCACCTTTTTTAGATTCAGTTTGATTCAGCTGGGAACGTAGTTCTTCAAATTCAGTGTTCCCTTTGTCAAAATCAAAATCCCCATCAAAGTTAAGGGGATCTGGTCCCTGGTGCTGTTGAAGACGATGGGATGGTCGATTATTAGCAGCTCCACCTCGACTACCACGTAATCCCTGACGACTTCCACCTCGACCACGACCAGATCGCCCACTTTGATTCTGTCCACGGTTCATCTGCTGACTAATTAATCCAGCTGAGTATGAAGCTACAGCAATGCAGAAAGAATGACAGGACATCCCCCTCATCCTCTAACACCATCCCACCATCACCTTACATTCTATTCTATAAAGGCCAGTGAGAGTTGATAGCATGCCTACAATGAATACTCATTCACTCTGATCACTTGGATATTCAAATTTATGACTAGGATGGTGAGGTGTAATCAGGAACTCAGAACACTAAATTCAGTACCACACTGACCCATTTCCCTTCAGATATGAGGGTCATTTCAGAAGTTGAGAACCCCCTCAGTAAAAAAAAAAAAAAGAAGTAAATATAGAGTTTCCTGGTTGATGTAACCTACAGAATAATTTTCCAGAGTCCTTGCAATGTGTGAATTTCATTGAAGACACCATTTCTTTACAAAATTAACTTTTGCATCTCATCCCTTGCAATGGCTCAAATTTCAGCAGAATCTACCCCCCTTACCAACACAATTTTAACACAGCAACATGGCTATTCTTAAGGAGAAAAAGAAAAACCTTTGCTGGTCAACACTCAAAGGATACTTAGCTCCCTGTTTTGGTCCCTAACACCAGGTAACTAATCCATACCCTTCAGATTACTTCAATATAACTATCTCTAAGAAACCATTCTCAAGCACAATTTCTTTGAGACTGAAAATATATTCCATTTGTTCTGGTAGATCTTCAGCCCTCTGAAAAATGTAATGGGACAAGTTTCTCAGTGGATTTTCTCTTCTCCTGGCTAGAGAGTTCAGAGAACAGACAATGCATGGTTGTCATCCTTGGCCCCTAGGCATTTTTTTAATAGGAAAATTTGTAGTTTTTTCAAGTTTTCAATATTTTAACTAACTGGCTATGGTTGCTTGTATGGTGCTAGCCAACCATACAGGTAATAAATTAACCTTACCATGTAATTCAAACCAAACCTGATGTGTATCAAAATTATAAAGTAAAAAGTTTAGATTGAAGGTGCAATGACAGCAAACGCTGTCAAATGATGGCAAGGGGTGAAGTCACTGACAGTGTTGATCCTCAGTAGGATTGCCATTTTATTTTTAGATGGGAAGGGCCCTGTTCCACTTACATGAAGTTGCATATGCACTTTGACATTTTATGGAGCACTTCTAAATGGAAGATGACCAAAGACTGCTCACAGAAGAAGCCTCTAAACTAAGGCCTCTAGTATAAGATTATGGGTGACATGCACCAGATCAGTTCAATTGATCTAGTTTCATAATGGGCATCTATGGAAATAAGATGCTGTCAAATGTATTCCCATTGAGGACGATTGTGAGATCAGATTAGTTCAAGATCTGTTTAAGATCTGGTGCATGTCACATTAAGTTTCATTTTATTAAGTTTCATTTCATTGACACTCTGTGTCAAATCAACACACTTGGGACATTTTTCAGGTGACCCCTTCTGATTTGGATGAAATTTGGTGTACCTATCAACAATGGTAAGAAACTAACCCAAACCAAATATTGTGTTCATGAGACCTCAGGTTCTTCTGGTATGATGTCACAAAATTCAAGGCTTATTCTTGTACCCTAATTTAGTTTCCTCCTTGAAACTTGTCCTAATTATGCTAGAGAGCTCCCCTTGGCCTAATTTTTTTAGTTCTTTTCCAGCCATTTCCATTGGTATTGATAACTTTTAGCATTCACCAAAATGTATCATTCAGTAAGGAGGTCGTTTTGATGACCTTTGACCTCACATTATCAAAAACAACCCCCATTGATTTTGAAAATAATGGGGTAAATAGTAGACAAGACATTCAGCTACCTCTGGAAAACATTCTAACTTAGGCACTGTAATTTTTGGAGATAACTAAAATAATTATAATATGATAAGATACAGGGTGCAAGAGGCTCAAGACACGTGACTGTACCCTGACTCTGGAACACCAGCTAACCCATCCTCACATCCACATCCCCCCCTGTAACATCAGCAAACACAAGTAGCCTTGGGAGACTCAATTTGACCCATGTGCTTATTCTGGGAATACACTTCCAGAGGTTTGGCCTTCACCATTGGGAACCTTTAATGTCCCACATCCTTAACCCTTTCCCTGGCTGGGATATCCGAACACTGAGGATGTTGACAAAAATATGTGGACACCAGGGAAAGGGTTAAATAGGAGGGCCAAGTGGTTAGGGATCTCCTTTCCCAAGCATGATGGGGCTTGCACTTGGAAATAACCATGGGACTTGTTTGGGTTCAAACCTGGGTACCTTGCTATGGGCAGCAAGCACATTATCAACCAAGTCACTTACTTGCTTACCTGACACAAGTAGCAGGCAATTGGCTTAGAGCTGTTTGCATGAAATCCAATAAACAGAATATATTCCACTTCATAATTGGGATCCATGGGAATGCATTTAACAGAGTTGATATTTTCATTAAATTCCATGTAAAAATGAACATTTTAAATTTGATTCTATTTTATGCACACAAATGCTGTGCATGTAGCATTGCACCTATATAGGTTTTTACTATAATGCTTGGAAGTGCAAAAAAAAGTAGTCTTTGTGGCATGGCTTCAATAGGTATGTGAAGCTGGTCAAGATGATAGCTGATGATGCTGAGCACCACAAAAAATATTTATGTAGATTTTCATTTTAAAAAAATAACATACTTATCAGCATTAAGCTTAATTCTATTTTTTTCATGTTTATTGTACATAAAACTACACATTGGCTACTTAGCAGCATATTTGAAAGGCTAATCAAAACTTTTAAATATGACATTCCTGAAAGCAAATGTTCCATTGGAGAATACCTTAATTTACTGGACTTCTGTGGCCATAGGTCACTGGAAAGGGTAGACATCTTCACTCTTGGGGAAAAGGATTAGCTTATTTGAAGGAGTCAGGTGGAGAAAACAGCACTCCAAGGGGGAGACCATATTCTAGCATCAGAAGGTTTGAGACACATAAAAGTGGTGGACATGGTACCTTGCATACATTGAGAAATTTAAAAACAATCTGAAAACTCTTGTTCATTTCCTTCATCCAGAGTCCATCTCCTTCAACTTCTTATCCTCACAAATCTGATGAGCCAAGAGTACGTCATAGCCAGCTCCTTTCACTTATTAACCTCTTTTCAGAAAAAGGAAATATATACAAACTGTCCTTTGTAGAGATGAGATGATGCCTGCATTGGTATGTCTTCATATAAACAAGTACAGAGAATTTACCTTCAAGATGCTCTTTGGACTTGGTTCTATATGACTGTAAATTACATTTTTCTCCGTTATCTTTAGTTCTATGCAGTCCATTAAACTTAAAAGATATTGATAAACTCTAAAGATGTGGCTGGATGCAGGAATGTCAGTCAGAATGTTAGAATGGTACTCTCTTTTGTAGTTATCTTAACTTTTGGAGAGCCCAAGGTAAGGAAAGAGGTAGCCATATATCTTGCCTGCAAACCATTCAATTCTGCCAAAATCTAAAATGGTTGTTTGGTAATACGAAATCAGGGGTCATTATGATGACATGAAAAGTTTACTTTTAGCACTTATTCAAATTCATCACATGATTGAAAAGGGTTTGAAGAGAGCTTTTGAATGAGCTCAAGAAAAGGTCTCTAGCTCAAAAAGAGCAGAAGGTATGAGGGGAAGACTATCATAGTGCAGCAAGAAGGCATTTCTGCTTGAATTTTCATGACCTCATATTCAAGGAACAAGACAAATGAACCCGATAATTGCCAAGTCACTTTCTAATAGGTACAAATAAGCCTGCAAAATTTCATTCAAATCAGAGAAAGTCACCTTTTAACACCGTGTTGATTTGACACAGAATGACCCATTAAATGTACTGCAGATGTCCATAGAGAGGCAAGGGGTCTCCAAACATTAACCATTTACTTTTTTTTTCCCACTCTTCTGCCCAAGTTCTTTTCCAAAGTGCATGATGGTTTGGTACATGCTAAGGAAATTCCTTCACATTATGTAAGTGAAAGACTAAACTGGTTCCTGGTAGTCCTGTAAAATCTCTGGTGTAACTGCTGCAAGATGCAAGAAACTTTCAATTGAATTAACTTTTTTGTACCAATTAAAAGGTTTAGGACCCTGTTATTTTCGACATTGCATTGTTTAATTCTTCTCAGTACAGAATGAATACACTGCAAAAACTGAGAATCAAACTATACCATGACAACTGACAAGCCCTACTGTGAGATGGATGCAACACAGCCACTGGGGATGGAGAACAGATGTCGAAGAATGAACCTCAAAAAAAATTACAATAAACAGTTTGACAAATGCAGAGGAAAGGCCAGTAAGTATAAGGTGTTCTGAAACTTGACCATATTTTGCATATCAGGTATAACACAAAAATGGTATTTCCCAGTGCTGAATTTAAATCCATGTGGCAACATTGTCTCTTCAGACCCTCTATCAGGTGGTGATGAACTATGAAGTTGCATGTCAGCTTGCCAGGACATGAGATGTTAAGAAACAATAACTGTTTTCTCAATTTTTTAAAGCCCGATTGTGTAAGGGGGGTTCACTTATCCCTTTACTTTCTATTACATAACTTTTCTGATGAGTCTTCCAAGATTACCGGTACTGAAGTGGAGACATTCAATCATTTTTTATCCTGTAATGCTAGTTGGTCCTGATGAGACAGCAGCTTTTAATTGATTTTACCAACTGCAGTATCTGAAATGGATGGTGAGGAAACTCAAGCAAACAGATGTCCATAAACCTCTGCAATTCTTGTTCCCATAGAAGTACTATAAAATACATTGATTTCAGAAGGGAAATGAAATTTTCAGCTCACCCATTTCGCTCTCGAAAGTTCTCAGCATTGTTTCCTGATCCTTGTCCACCTTCAGCAGTTGGATGAGTAACATTGGAACGATTTCCACCCTGGGCCTGGTTACGTTTACGACGAACCCCTTGTGGACCTACTTGCACTCCTTGATCTACATGTGAATGCCCTTGTTGCATGACAATAGCCTGACTTGACGTTTGTGGAACATCCCGACTCTGAGATAACACTTCCATCAGATTGCCTGCTGAATGAAATCATGTATCTGCTCTATGAGAATCCTCACACAGATGAAACTATTCCTAAAGGGAACAAGATAACATGAGCTTTCAACAAAGAAAGCATGGGCATCGTCCTCCACTACCAGCATGGGCCCTAGCCCATTTTCATTTTCTAACTTCGTTTTAATCTTTGCTCATGGCCTTGCCCGAGAGCAATGACTATTTAAGAAACATCTCATCCATGCACAGTGGAAATATGGTGGAAATAGCTTAAGTGATTAAGATACATTGGTTAAGTCTTTTATTTGCCTGTATATATATCTACAAATAAAATAATGAATAATCATATGTGCTCTACTGAAATAGCAATTAAGTTACCTAACAGAATAATATAGGATTTTAAATAGTTCTTTAACACATTGACTGCCATGTCAGCCACCTAGGTTGATGCCTAGAAGTTTGTGCCAGGCCTGTCAGCCACAGGTGGCTGATGCTCAACTCCAAACTATCCTGACCCATTTGGGCTGATGCCTGCATGCAGTTTGTTTATTGATTTGATGGAATGGCCTTGTGAGAACAATGACAAGTTAGCCTTCAATGAGCATTAGGTTACAATCTTCATGGCAACTTAATTGATCATGATGGTGGTATGTAAAGCATTCTATGCCCCTGGAACAACCCACCCATCATTGTCCTGAACAAGCAACACAGTAGGTCATGATGCAGTTCATCTACCTGGCTTGTTCCGGTTCCAATTCTACCTTCAGACGTGAATAGCACAACTTACATTGCTTTCATCTACCTATTTTAGGTCCATTTCTTTCCTTCTAAACATGCTTCAGCAAAGATGGGCAGGGGAGAGGTAAATCTTGACCTTTCATTAGTTCCCTCAGGATTGTGCGAGACAAACCATAAAACATATCTAGTTTACTACAATAGATGTTGATTCTTTGAGTGAATCCATTTGTGCAGAGGTTAAAGAGAGTTTCATGCCATACTTTTTGATGTTTCGATGGCATATACTGATGAAATGCCAGTCTGCCATGTCATAGGACCATTGATTCAATTGTCATCAACTTGTTGATTGATGTGATATGGAAGTAGATTAGGACAATCCTTCCATCAGAATCACTAAGATCAGAAGGTGGTTAAGATCAGGTGGTGCAAATGCAGTTCCTCTATCAGAGTCATGAATATCTGAAGACACCACTTCCACAAATGAATAAACAATGGACATGTCAGGTCTTGTTTTAAGAATTTGACTGGACAATTTTATTCACAAATAGAGAGCGACCAAATGAGTGGATTCAGAGCCATGTCAACTATTGGTGGCTTAAATGCCTACAGCTGAAATATTATGTGGTAGGACAATGTCAACCCATTATGGCTGATGTAATTTTTTGGTCATAAACATTTATTCTCAAATAGTAACAGCATATTGAAAAACAAAGTTCAAAGTCCACAAGATGCTACAACAATCCCTCTGGCCTGGTGGTAACACTTCCCTTAGAAGGGCTTGGCAGTCAATGTGTTAAAGGAAAGGATTATAAGAACATGCTTATTTTGGTATTTCTGTTGTAGTTTGGGAAAAAAAAATCTATCAAGACACTTTTGGACCATCCCTGGTATTAATACTTTTTCTTATGGGACCAAAAGTGATCAAAACCTTCCTGGAAACAAGGTCCTAAGCCTTTTGACAGCATGAATTGAAGGACCTGAGAATCAAGGCAGAGTATGGCCCAGAATCTGGTGAGAAGAGCAGTTAAGCACAGTAGCTGGTGAGACTAGTTTTAATTAATTTAATGCACTATGTAGGCATCCATTTTCTACCAGGTCCCAGTGCCCACCAAAACAAACGATCAGGAAGATTCTAAGAAACGAGTTATGCAATAGAGCATGCATTTCAAAATACCAGATTTCAAGTTTTGAAAAATAACTTAAAAACTCACCAACCTTAATTCGTTGAATTAATCAGCTTAATCAATTTAGCCATGTCAAAAAACCTAATAAATACTTCTGATTAAAACATTAAATTGTTCCATTTTTTTAATTTAATTATAAATCTTTCCAGCAGATGTCTACGGCTAAAACTTCCAAGCTTAAAGTTTTTACATTTTTTCAACAAATGCATCAATAGTCCTTCCTTCAATTGGCCATAGAACAGGTCTGTGTGCTCGTGAAATGATAAGAGTTGTCTGCGGCAGGAATTTGCTATTTTTAAATGTAAATATTAGGGCATTAACGATGTATAGGCAACCACCGGCTTTCAAGCCGCCGGTGTGGCACTATCGGCCGGTTTTCAAGCTGCCGGTGCCAATGTCCTAATAAGAACGAACAGATCGAAGAAAAACAAAAAATACGTGAACGGGGCTTGATAACCAATTCTCAACGGGAAAATAAATAAAAAATAGGGCTGTCCCCGATGCATCCATCGATATATGGATTGCCATTTTCGATAGTTGAAGACATAGGCTTCATTCCCCGTCGCGAGGGTCACACCTCCCCCAAGGGAGAGCGAAGTTTTCGAAAAAGCCATCGTGACAGCCCTAAAAGAAATTGAAAATATCTTCCTGACCGGTCTATTCCAGGGGTGTCAAACATACGGCCCGCGGAGGTGGTTCATCCGGCCCGCCGTCTGTTCTTGAAATTTCCGCTTGGATTGACTGTCAGCACAAATTTCGGTGAAAAAGTATGGGTGCGGCCCGCCGACCGATTTGAGGTTGACACCCCTGGTCTATTCGAATAAATATTTAATATGGTTCCTCCCTCTTTCTCTGCAAGAAAAGTCGCAATCGGCATCGGCACCGGCCGATAGGCATTAAATCATAATCAGCCAACGGCTCAACGGCTATATGTGGCCACCGTTACAGCCCTACCAAATGGTACAATATCTAATTTCCTTTTCGATGTTTTTCCAAAATACAAGTCCATATCCAGAGATTAAAAAAAATTGATTGCCATCTAAAAATACTAATCAGAACCTTCTCAAAGTCCTATAATTTACTCACCTTCACGCCAATTGCTGATGGGGACATTGTTCACCAAGCGAGTACTGCCAGCACCCATCAACCCAGGAGGTGTGGAATGCTATATGAAAAAAAAAACTATAAATTACAGCAACTTCATAGCGATCAACACTCACAAATGAGATAAACATGATATCCCATACCCTCACCTGAACGATTGCAGGGTCACTTGGCAGACCACCAGCCAAAGTGGGTTGTGGTTTTGGAGGTTCACAAACACGAATATCCTTGATATCAGATCCACGGAAGATTATATACTCGTATACTTCCTCTCGAGGAGCTACAGGACGATCTGTAGGCCTATCTTCTGTTCCAAACGACTTCACTGCAATGATAGGGCATGAATGCGTCAATATCAGCCTCAACCATGTACAAATAATTCAGCAAACATAAGCATTTGAAAATTGTTCACTAAAACATTTCATCATCCAACCAAGTTTAACTCCATTAAGACATCTGAAAAGTACAGTGAATAAGATGTCCTAAAAAGACACGAATAGGATACTCCCCTCTTAATTTTCAAAGGGAGATCTCTGGTAGGAATGAATAAATTATTACATTAGTCAGCTACACTCCCGCCATCTCCCCTGTAAGAGTTCTCAAATCAGAGCATTGACTAAAGATGAGCTCTCTCAATCTCAACCATAACGCCAGATTCTTCAGAACCTCACTTTTCTAGCTGGTATAAAAGTTGAATTTCACTAATTCACCCTTTTCCTAATTTTATTTGAAACTAAACCCAAGAATTCCTTTGGGCACAGTCTTCCAAATAAACTGGACTGAATTTTGATGAGCCGGTCCGACGCAGCAGCAACCGCAGGAGTTGGCGGGAAACTGGCAACGAGGGCGTGGGTCCCTACAGCTTGAACCTCCATGGAGCACGCACGCAAGGGGTCGGGGGATCGGGTACGACGGCGTCGCAGGAGAATGAAGGACAGAACACTCGAGAAGTACCACCATCCCACACCTCGACCCGAGCGTGCGACTTCCCGGCCGCGGTTGCCCCGTTACACCGGGCAGTCAGTTCCGCGTTGAACGTGGGAGTGTAGGTTCAGTCCTGATTGAAAATCAGTGTTCACAAAACGAAGTTGAGATTCATATGTGGTGTTTCACAGGAAATTGATAGTGTGCATAAGACAAAGGAATACCGCCAAAGCGACCCCCTAGTCCTTGCATTCATCCAGAACCGTTTTAAGGATATCGGACGAAAAAATTACTTCTGGCGAATGCTAATAAAATAGGGGAAGAAGGAGGAGGAAAATTAGAAGTGGTACCACTGCCTTATTCGCCAACTTGAAATAGAACGACCCTTCTCTGCACTAGACCTTGGACATACGAAAAATTCCCCATATCTGACTTGAGCTCCAGTGGACAATCCTACACAAGGTGGACAGCAAGGTGAAGCGTTTAGCCAGATGAAACAAAATTGGCTCAAGACTACACTGTTTCCGGATTGAATTCGTACCACCCCCTTATGGTGGAGAATGGAGAAAACACAAATTTCAAGAGGTTCCGCTTCAGCAGGTGATAGACAAAACTACCCATGTGTAAGATGTCACTACCTGCAATCGATGAAAGCGCTCCCATCGGGAGTACGAAATCAATCCGGTAACAGTGTAGATCGCAACCATCATGAGAAATTCGGACATTTTCTCGAGATAAATTGAAACAATGGGGGATCCAGGAATTTTATTTGGGGGGGGGGGGGGGGGGGGGGGGGGTGTTNTCCAGGAATTTTATTTGGGGGGGGGGGGGGGGGGGGGGGGGGGGAAACTTGATGCTTCGGATTTGAGAAAGCAAAAACTATTTTAAACGCTGGGGCTCCGGTCGTTTCCTTCTAGTTAATCCTCAAAATCGAACCAACTAACAACTCTCCGCCCCTCTCCTCCTTTCCTTCCGGGAGCGTTTTATAGTATTTGAACGTTTCGGCAGGAATATCACAGCTCCACTCTCGCCGCTTCCCTTTTCATCCGGCCCCAGAAAAAGTTTAAAGCCCCTCAGGTAACTTGGGTCAAAGTAAAGCCACCACCCTTCCGAAGATGCGGTACCCTCGTTCATAATTCGTAGCTCATTTAACATATTGACAATGCTTAGCTTACTGATAACTAGAAAGGCCTACCTTTGGCCAAGGCGACAGTCGACTCCCGTGGATCAATGGTATAGAGGATTCCCTCATATCGTATCTCAGACTTGGATATCAGGCTGATTTTGCAGCCCAAGTACGGGACGTTGGAACTCATTTCACGAAAACTCTTTTTGTCCGAGGAACCTAACTGCTTCAGAAGAGGACGCAACCACTGCTGTAAAATGGAAGTTCAGAGTACGAGGCCTAGTCCTATAAGCCTCGAAAGAAAAGAAAACGGGTGGGCGTACAGTAGAGCCTAGGCCTACTCACGTTGCCTGGATGGGGGTGGTGGCGGAAGGCGTGCGTGGCCAGAGTCGGAGAGGAAATGACGGAACGAAGGGAAGGAAGTAGCGGGACAGCTGCGTATTCAGGGTGCACGCCGCAAGGGATCACAGCGCAAGGGCAAAGGCTCACCGTCGCCAAAAGCCTAGCCACGAGCGCCACTTGATTCTCTCATAACTAAAACGCTTCGCACAGGCAAAATCTCCCTTTTCAGTTCTATCCTGCAAACACGCTTCCCCAATGCAAGTTACTCGATAGGGCAGCTGATCATGACGTCCTCCATTCCAGACAAGTGGGGAAAGCAGGCTTCTGCTCTCCGGCCCTGTGTTGCACCCAATCATTAGCTGTAACAATTAAGAGCTTTTCTTTCGACGAATCCCATTAAAAGACGGCATGATCTTAGAAAAACTCATCACTCATGCCTCGAGTCTCCTTCACTCACGATGAGAAGGCCTCCGCCACACACCACACTTGCTTTAAGCAATTGTAGTCAAGTTGTCAAGAAATATAAACTCTTGTATTTTCCACTGGAGGGCCAACATGCGACTATAAACGTCCCAGTATGAATACAAACATGCTCAAACAAACAAGAAAAAAAACCAACGGGTCTGTCTGAGGAACGGAGTCAGTTTAGCGGTTGTGGTGATGTGTGCGAACAGAAGACATCGGGTCCTGATCAACCGTAAAGCATAGGCTTCACTTTTTTTTCATTTAAACCCTTTTTCGAAGCATGGAGATAATCATGGCGCTAACGATAGCGCAGCGTTGGGAATTTGTTTTCCTCTTTACCCATAAGCTTGGTTCCAAGCTTTCTTTGGCTGCGGCTGCGAAGTATGTTGGCTGCTCGAAGTCGACGGTGCATCGCTGGGTCGAAAAGTTCAAAAAGACTAGCGACGTGGCGGACGAACTGGGAAGGGGAAGAAAACAAAACGGAAGGCCACGGGAAAGCAGGATGCAAGAATCCCCGTGGAACGTCCGTCCCACTGACAGACGTACGCGTCTACATCCAGAACGGAGACGTGTACACTAGCCCAGACTCCTGCAAGCGGCGTCGAATCGTGGCAGCCGAGACACACACTCCTTGACCTAAAACACGCGAGAGCTGAGAGAAGCTGACTTCCGAGGAAGACCATATCATTCAGATATGAAATATAAGAATGCAATGGACGATTACTTTTCCACTTCCGGAGGAAAGAAAATGGCTTAAGGAGACGGAAAGCAAGTTTTCTCAACTCCAGGACTGTCAGTCATTTAAAAGTAAACCTGTGCGTCAAATTGTCTGTTGATCAGTGTATAATCACTGCGCATTAACTGTATCTTCAGTAACACAGATTTTTGTCGAAGCATTTCGTATTGATAAAAACGGGGATTTTTTCGCGTATAAAGCCAGATAAATTTTTGCCATGGTCCTTAACCTTTTGTGCAGGATATGAGGACAAGGTGGATCATAAGTATTCATATCACATGAAAATGTTCTATTTCTGCATGCGCAAAAAAAGAAAAGAAGAAAAAGGACATACCAATAGGTCTGAATATTCATAGATGGCCAATCTTGAGTGTTTTAACAGGACTCCACTCTAAGGCACAAAGCTAGCCGCTCAAAATCCTGGCTCGCAGACCATGTACCAGGAAATTTTAAAAGACATTTTTTGCCCCCTTACAAGCCTGACTGTAATCCAAACTATAAATATATGTGGAGTGTGCTGCAAGTAATTTGTCAAAAACGAAATCCAGCGACCAGAAGCAATTAAGGTTGGTGTTGAAGGAGGAATGGAACAAAGGCGCGTCCAATGCAATCTACCAATGGAGTCGAAGATTCCTGGTTGCCGTCAAGATAAAGGGGAACACACCAGAAATATTTCGTGAATAGTTACAATGGATCTTGAGATTCAGTCGATTTGAAGGGAAATTAAAATTAGCACAGGAAAAACTATTTAGGTGTGAACATTTACAGCCCATTCTGTATACATTGAACGTCTCTCGTAGTTCCAAGTCCTATCATCAAGAAGGCACCTTCCATCCATTTTTGAGAGCCTAATATTTTACGTAAACGGCTTGTGAGATTCTCGGTTGCTTTTCTCTTCCATACCGCTCCAAGTCGCTGATTTTCTTCATTCCATGAATCCAGAGCTACGTGGTTGTGAATTTCCCTTTGAAAGCTTGATCTACAATTCATCGAGACTCATCACGATCACTCCCTTGAAATCCTATATCCAAAGTATCCTTTGCCTGCATTGACTTTCCTAATCTTGTTATTCTCGTGTATGATACACTACATACCTTTGTGTAGGTCCTTTGGAAACCCATGCATGCACGCTCACTCGAACAAAGGCAGGTGTAAAGCACACTGGTGTTGTGTAAAGTGAAAGAGATCATTTCACATACGTATAGTGCACCTAACAACCCTGCCATTCCCCCCTGCGGTTTTTGTATTCGTGCTTCTGGAGTATTGATCCATGTATTATCAGATTTCATAACTTTTTGCAGTTTTGGATTGAAGCTGTTGACAGGGAATCCACCTGATGCCGGACGAATGAAAGTTCCAACAATAGCAACAGTAACTTTGTACTGGCCGATATTGTAAATCTTGCTCTTCGTGTTTATATCCCACACAGCACAGGTATATCCCAAAGATATCCCAGAGATATCCCCTTGGGACAAGTGCGATGTCCCAGAGACAAGGAGCAGGGACATCTTAGGGATATCAAAATGTCTGGGCCCAATGACATCCCAAGGATATCCCTTTCTTGAAGAAATAGCACATCCCAGAGATGTCCCAGGGATATCCCATTGGGACAAGTGAGAAGTCTCAGGTAGTACTTGTAGGGGCCTTCCTATTCCTTCCTACCCATATGGACTCTTTTCCTATCATACAGGAGAACCCTTTGTTTTCGTAGATGTCTCTATTTTATATAGGAACACCTAATCTAAAGTTCTTGATCGATTGAAGAGTAACAATTCAGGGGGAGGAAAACGCCGTTTTTAAAGGAAAGAGCCCCATCATTGGAGACACATCTCCAAGGGACGAAATTTAGCACTTTTACGCGAGGGGTCATGGATGATTTGATGTAGTCTTATATCTTTCAATTTGTATGGGCTCAGGCCTCCAACCAATATAGTTGTATCCAGACATGCCAATCAGACATCATTAATGAGAATATAAAGGAATAAATTAAACTTCGGACCGCAATTTTTTCACTTTCCCTGATGGCAGTTTTCCTTATGTATGGTACGAAAATCCTTACTTGTCCTCAGGACAAATCAAGCAGATGAATTCGATAGAAAAGAGTTGTATCCAGACATGCCGATTAGACATCATTAATGAGAATATAAAGGGATAAATTAAAGTTCGGACCGCAATTTTTTCACTTTCCCTGGTGGCAGTTTTCCTTATGTATGGTACGAAAATCCTTACTTGTCCTCAGGACAAATCAAGCAGATGAATTCGATAGAAAAGATCTGAGGTTGTAGATCAGGGCTCATGGGAGACATCTACCCTCGAAGCTGTGCACCTGACTGAAGGCGACAGAGAGCACTGAAGATATCTTCAAGATATCCCCTCCAGGATGTCTTAAAGATATCCCGAAAGGGATATCTCTAAGATATCGACTGAAGATGTCTAAAAGACGTCCCGAAGCCATCCCTTGCGAGATGTCCGAAACCGTCCGAAAGGAGATGTCTTCAGGATATCCTATAAAGACATGGGGACAAAAGGCAACAGAGAGCACTGAAGATATCTTCAAGATATCCCCTCCAGGATGTCTTAAAGATATCCCGATAGGGATATCTCTAAGATATCGACTGAAGATGTCTAAAAGACGTCCCTAAGACATCCCTTACGAGATGTCCGAAACCGTCAGAAAGAAGATGTCTTCAGGATATCCTATAAAGACATGGGGACAAGTCGTCCAGTTAGGGACATCCCTGGGATATCCCTGTGCTGTGTGGGTTGTGCCGCAGGCGGCATTTCGAGTCACCCTGAATTTATAATGAATACTCAAACCGAATCCTTTCATTAAGGGGTGAATTGAAAGCTTACATGAGGGGATAGCAGTCGAATAAGAGAGTGGTATCCAATAAATCCCTTGATAGGCGGACTATTTTGGTTGGCAGAGTATGGCCGACCAGCAAGGTGTGAGACAAAGAAACCCGATTCTTCCTGAACGCCTCCAGCCACGGAGACGGCCCTTTCTTCCTGTTGTGGTTAATACCGTTTCACTTCTGAATCAAGAAAATCCTTTCGACCAGCTCTGTGCAAGGGAGTTAGGGACTCACTCGTATGTGCGGAGGATGAAATAATCCTCGTGAGGATTCCAGAACACTTGACTGACGGAGAGCTTCTGCAAACTGGACGTGTGAAACTCCCTTATTTCTTCAAGAAATTCATCTGCAGCTCGAGAGTACTTCTTAATGAGGTCATCTGGAATAGCCTAAAATAGAAGCGACACTTTCACGCTGCCGTCATCCTATTCCTCTCTTTCGCAGATTTGTAGTTTTAACGAAAAGGGTTACTTGGAAGATCCTCTGTATCCAAGAATCTGGTAACGGTGGAACGGGTGCATTGGTAACTGCTTTCTGAAGTATATCTAAGTAATGTGCATAGGGAAACTGCGGTTCCTCCGCCTTTTGCAGATAAGGACGAAGGTTCCTCTTGCTGAATTTCGTTTTTACCCCTCTCCCCTGGTCCTCGGGAATTCGCCTGAAATGAAACAAGTCGGCATCATGCCAGGTGGGGGGGGGGGGGCAAGTTCATTTTCCGTTGCAAAGAGAAGGGCCACAGAAACCATTTGAACAAACATAAGGATCGGCTATGTGTAACGAGGAAATGAGTTTAATGAGGTCTGGGACTGGAATTTACCGGCGACGAGAAGAGCGGAGCCGGGATCTGAGAGCCTGGAGATCGCGATTCAGGAAGCAAATGTCCTGAGGAGAGGGGACGGGCGGAAGGCGAATCCCATGTAAATGCTTCTTCTTTTTCTCACTCTCTAGCCACGGGATTCCACCGGGAGCTGTGGTCGTGGAACTCATGGCCATATTTGGGGATCCTCGACTCACGAAACGAGGAACGCCGGGCCGCTCCGGCCTCTGTCTCGATCCATCCCTCAGATTGATCAAGCTGCGCGGCTACATGACCGATATTCCCGGACAGAGATAATGGAAAGACCGCCGGTCCTACAGCTTGTCCAGGAAATAAAAAAAGGAAAATATTATTAGTCACCATCGAATGTGAATGAATTAATACATGACTGCATCAGCGATATATGTATTACATAAAAGGCTTTCCCTTATAATGAAGAGTCGTAACAATGCGCCTGCGTGCAATGCGTGACGCTGTCATCTTGTGTTGATAGTCTGGAGTTTCCATCTGTTGAACATCAGAAGTCATTCTGATGTTCAACGTGAGGCAAGGTCGGGAGCAAAGGTCACGTTGTACGCTATCCCAACTGAGGAGATAGAGGTGAAATGACCTGGTCAAGTAAGAAGGGGTTAATGACAGGTTAAGGGAGTTTTGTTTCGTGGAGGGACTGCGTTTCTGGAGGGCTGGGAGGTTCAAAGGCTAAAGAAAGAGATGGGAAATCAATGGTTGAAGTGCTTCTACAAGAATGCGCGCAGCTGAGCGAAGGAGGAGGATACCAGCAAACGGTCTGGATATCATCAGAATAACTGAGACTTGGGGGGTGCTCTGACGTCACAGATAAATTAATTTGAGATTCAAGGATTCAACATCATGTATATGGATAGGCTCTGCAGAAAGGGTGGAGGTGTCATTCTGTATGCCAGAAATGAACTTGTCGTTTGCATTAGAGAGGATCTCACTTCCTTTAAAGGTGGTGCAATCGAATATAAATGGTGCAAGGGATCGGTGGGGCGACAGGGAGGATCGGGTTGGGATTTTGCCAAAGGCCTCCGAACTCTTCCCGTGAGGATGACACATCGCCCTTTATACGCTGATGAATTTTATCAGCGAGAAGTCCCAAAAGGCATTGCTCTTTGGAGACTTTAACACGTCTACCATAGACTGGACATTGCCGCGTGGGGCGAGGGAGAGGAAAAGGGAATTCTCTTTGCGATCCAGGATGCTTCGTACAACACGATGAAGAGCCGACAGGAAATACTGCTTTAGCGGACTTTCGCAAAGGATGACAAACTGGCGCTCGATGTTAAGGCCCTGATACACGAGGCAAGTTCTTGCCAGTAAGTCCTTGCTTACATGGAGAAAGCGAGGGTATGCACGAAGCAAGTAGTCTCAAGCAAGCACATGTCTCCACTTGCTCGAAAGTTGTCAAGTTGAACGAAGTCGAAAAGAGCGAAAACTCACATCTACTAATAGATGTCAGGGAGATCTACGACTATGATTGCCGCATAATGTTCCGCATAATGAGAAGTATCATTTCACTTGGCAACTAAATATCGCATGCAACTAGCACATTGCGGCGCTGATAAGACCCCAGCTGGAATATTGCATCCAGTTTTGGAGGCCTACAAATTTGTTTGCGCTCGAGAGAGTACAGAGGAGGGCCACTAGAATGATCAAGGAGGTTAGGGGACTTTCTTACGAGAAGCGTTTTGATGTTTTGGGACTGTACTCGTTCGAGCGAAGGTTAAGGAGGGGCGATCTGATCCAGGCTTTTGAGATAATTAAAGGAATAGATTATGTCGAGTGTGGCAGGTTTCTCCAGTTTGATGCCAGCAAGAGAACGAGAGGTAATCAACTCAAGTTGCGCAAACCGCAGATGCGGCTCAGGTCGACCCAGGAATTCTTTACTTGCAGAGTGGTGAACGCGTGGAAT